CACACACTCACCACAGAGCACACATCCACACTCACAGCACTGCGCACGACCTTTCCTCTCTCACCACAGAGCACACCTGGCCATTCACACACCACAGAGCACACCCGGCCACACTCACCACAGAACATACCCGGCCACACTCACCACAGAGCACACCCAGCCACACTCACCACAGAGCACACCCAGCCACACTCACCACAGAGCACACCCGGCCACACTCACCACAGAGCACACCCCGCCACATTCACACCACAGAGCACACTCGGCCGCACTCTCACCACAGAGCACACCCGGCCACACTCACGCATGCTCACATCATGCTGCTTTCTTGCCGCCACAGCACACTGGTGTGGATTCGGCCCAGCTTGCAAGGCTGAGAGCACCTGGCCCCGTGCGGCAAAGGCCTGCTGGCTCCTGCAGTGGCCTCTGAGGACAAAGCCCCTGTTCCCTGGATCCTGGTGGGGGATTCAGCGGGTCGGCAGGCGACCGTGGGCAGACTCATCGCAGCCGGGAACCTCTGCTAGGCACCTGTGACGCAGGCTGCTCCTCGCTCCTGGGGCTTGGAGTGCCCTTGGTGTAAACCCTCAATCGTATCACAACCGTGACCCCGAGTGTCGCTTCATATTTAAGAATGCCAAGCACAGCCGAGAAGAGGCCCTGCCTCCTCCAGCCCCCACGCCTCTTGGCTCCCTGTCCTGCCACCCAAGCTGCTCACCACTCCTAAACAAACCCAAGAACCAGCAAACACACGTGCTTGCTTCTCCCTACCCAAGAATTTCAGTCACTCTTTCCTTCCCTGACCCCAACGTCCCCTAGGCCTGGATCCTAGAAACCCAGAAACTGGCAGGTGGGCGAACGCTTGGCCTTACTTGTCCATCTCCACCTCCGTCTCCCATTCCAGAAGTGGCACTCCTCGCAGGCCCACGTGGATGTCGTAAATGCCCTTATTGAAAAAGTCCCCTGTCCACTTGGCCACCTGAAACACACAGCAGACCCCACCTGAGCACAGGCCCCTTGGGTGAACCTGGCCCCGAGCCCGACGAGGCCGGGGAGGGGCGCTCACCATCAGGGTGATCATGATGGGAAGCCCGTAGGTGATCTCGTTGGTGGACTCGATCAGGATGACCGTGAGGCTGATGGTCATGCGGACGACCCCACCCAGCAACGCCGCGGCCCCGATCAGGGAGAAGGTGCCCGAATAGATGTGGCTCAGGCCGATGTAGCTGTGAGGAAGGAGACCGAGACCGTGGCTCAGAACAACGGCGGACAGGGCTGCGGGCCGCCCGCGGTTTGCACACTTGTGCTTGTGTAAGACACGCGTGCACACAGGCGCACAGGTACACACGGCACCTTTTCAGGACATTGGCAACTAAGCGTCCAAAAGCAGCTCCACACAGCAGAGACGGCACGAAAAGGCCACTGGGAACGGAAATGCCGTAAGTCCAACAGGCAAGCAAGAAGTAGAGGACGAAGAACAAGGCCAAGGTGATGGGGCTGAAGGTTCCTGCAAGGCAAGAGCTGCCCTGAGTGCCACGGCAGGCGCCTGCTGCAGGCCGGCAGCCCACCCCGGCTCCTCCCAGTCCTTCCACACGCGCCCCCGACCCCGCCGCTCACGCCAGCCCCAGACGCAGAAACTCTCGTCTCCGTCAGGCCGGCACCGAGCCCCTGCTGCAACACTCACCGTCCTGGTGGAAGAGCTGCAGGATGGCGGACTCCTGGGGGTTGAAGAAGAGCGTGGCCATGTCGTTGTAGGTGTCGTTGGGACAAAAGAACGCCTTGATGCTTGAGTTCACGTCTGATGTGACCTGCGAGGCAGGAGTCGGAGTCAGCATGGCGCTGTGGAGCCGCAGGTCAAGCTACCGCCTGCGGCACCAGCTGCCCACGCGAGCGCCAGTTTGAGGCCCTGGCTGCTTCACTTCCCATCCAGCTCCCTGCTGCAGTGGACGACGGCCCAAGTGCTTGGGCCCCTGCACCCATGCAGGAGACCCGGATGGAGCTCCAGGCTCCTGGCTTCAGCCTGGCCCAATCCTGGCCATTGCAGCCATTCGGGGAGTGAACCAGCAGTTGGAAAGTCTCTGTCTCTCTGTAACTCTTCCTCACACTCAGAGATAAATCTTAAACAAACATAAAAGCCAACAAAAGGCACCTGCCGGGGCCCTCTTGAGTCTTCAAGGGGATGTCCCCAGCTAGATCCGAGTCTGCAGATTGAACAGGCGGCCAAAACTGCTCCCCGTGCGCAGCGGCCAACCGTGATGCTGAGCTCTTTGCATCTTGATGGCAGTGAGTAAAGAATCCAGCGAAGGCCTTTGTCAAGCCACACTCGTGACACAAACGTCACCACGACCACGCTTCACCAGGGATTTGGCTTTGCCTCCTCACCTCACGCTACGTGACTGACAAGGGACGCTGTGGGAGGCCTGGCCCGAGAGCATTCAGGACCATGGAAGGACGAGGCCAGGGAATCTGGGGGGAGGGTCCCGGCACTGTCTGACCTGAAGCCCCGAGGTTGGCTCCGAGTGGACAGTGCCCCGGCCTTGAGCTGCTGTGGAAGCACCTGCACCCCGACCGGGCTGGGGGCTGACACCGCGCTCCTGGCCTCGCCTCCGTCCAGACCCGGGCTGGTGCACAGAGCCCACACTGGGGAAAACGAGTCCGCTCAGCTCACTCCGGGCCCTTACTGCTGTCTCCTGTGTGGGAGGATGAGGTGCTGCTGCCGTCCGACGCCCTGGAGGGGAGGCTGTTACGGTGATGGCTCCTGGCCTTCTAGGGCGTGGACTGTGCAGAAGCGTTACTACAGAGACCCACTAAGGGCGTGGCTTCTTCCCGATGACACCGCAGAGAGGCCCTGACTCGGGTTTCTAACAATTCTAGGTGGAGTCTGATAATCCTCCCAGGCAAACCTGGCCGGCAGTCCAGCTGCATGGAGGACCGCGGCCCCCGTCAGCAGAACATGGCACAGAGAAGAGACCCAGCCTGGCGGAGCTGCCGGCCTGCTGGCGGCACGCGCGATGCTTCTCCAACGAGGCACGCGGGAACGCCAGTCCCGAGGGCTCTGCCGAGTCCCACGCATCACGGCGCTTCTCGGAGCCCCCAGAGACTGTTGAGGCGGAGCGCACTCCCTGCTGGCCGCTCTCCAGCGACCTTGGCTCTGAAGCTTTGGTTCCCTCATCTGTAACACAGGAATTCTCTCTGCCCTCAGGCCCTGCCCTCCTGGCTGAGCGGTCCTGGACAGGGTCTCCCCGTGCCTCGGTTCTCCCGCGTGTAGCGGGGGGGCAACGCCGTTGGCCAGCGTGGTGGTGGTGAGGATTCAATGAGCTCACGCTTGGCAAGTGCTCATGGAGTATCTGGCACACAAACATGGCTAACGCTCGCGGGAACGTTAAAGGCCCTACAGAGACTTGTATTACAGAAAGTTATTTAATGCTGGTTGACCCATTTGACTACAGAATCCTTTTAGGCTTGTTTCTGAATCATCCATATCTACGTTTCATTATAGAGCACATTCTGAAAGATACTGATGCACTCATGAAGTGACCATGGCAAAACTCTCCTATAAAGAGCCAGACAGTAGATATCCTAGACTTGGCCGGCCACACGCAGTCCTGTGGCACATTTTTACTGTTCTCTTTTCCTCTTTCTCTCTCTCCTTCCCTCCCCACTTCCTCCTCCCCCCTTCCTTCCTTTCCTCCCAACCCTTGAAAAAGTTAAAACCACTCCTGCCTCGGAACCACACTACACAAGCAGTTGTGAAGGGCTGGACTCGCCCACAGGCCACAGTTTGCCAACCTCTGATCCAGCACACGCCAGGCACTCACGGACTGGGGAGGCAGCCACCGAAAGGCCCCAAGGGGGCTCTGAAGGGCTCCTGTGGCTACTTGGGAGCAACAAGAAACAGAGCCCTCAGAGACGACTCACCAGCCTGGCCCTGGAGGCCAGAACCACACGTCTGGCTCTCAGGCCCGCTGGAGTGGACCAAACGACACAGGGTAGAGTACACCCCAATGCCTAACTCAGAGAAAGGTTCTGGAAAATACCATACAGCCCTGAGAAGGGAGAGAGAGAGGCACCAAGGATGCATGGCAGAGAACCAGAGGTGCCGCAGCCAGGCACCTGACACAGGCACTCCTCCCTCCCCATCTGCAGTGATTCAGGTTCAAGAGTGCAAGCAGCGGGGGCTGGGGGGTGGGGGTGGCAGGAGCGTGCGTGGGGGCTGGAGAAGCACTGGGCAGCCAGCTTCCTACAGCTTCTGTTTCTCATTAGTCTTGTGCACCGGCGAGGACTGGCCACGGTGACATCTCCGCAGACGTCAGCGGGGTGTCTGGTGCACGTCCTCTCTCGGGTGAAAAAGCAACCACAAATCCCAGTGTCTCTCAGCAACCCGCCACGGGTGTGGGATGACGAACCCAACACGTCTGTGCCCAGACAGAGGCGAGTCACGCTCTGCAGTCTTCTCTGTGGGTAGATACAGGCAGCAGGCGCACCGGGGTTACCTGGAGCTTCAGCGAGCCGTTACTGATCTGACTCGAAGACGACATCTGTCGGCACTCTCCTAACACCATCGAGGCCACGAACACCACCAAGGTGGTGACCAGAGACACCAGCAGGCTCTCTAAGACTCTGGAAAGGAAAGCGCAGCTGCTTGACTGCGATCAAAAGGTGCCCTCATCTCAGGAACTCGACGGCCCCCAGCCCTCATCTCCCCCAGAGCACTCGCAGCAGCCCCCGGTCAGTCAACACACACATGCAGAGTCCGTCAGAGCCGTGCTGGCTTCCAGCAACACGTACGCCACAACGAAGCGGGCTGCTGCAGCCATGCCATCTCCCTCCGAGGAACGGACTGGCCTTCCACGAAGGTCCGGGGCCAAGGGAGCCCCTCGGCAGGGCCACATGGATCCTCTCTGTGCCACGTGCCTCAGGCAAGGCCGGGGTGGCAGGAGGTCAACCAGCATTTGACACCAATCAGTCTCAGCCTGTCTGCGCGTATAGATTTACGACCCTGCTGACTCCCTCGGTCTTAGCCAGGAAGCCGAGGCTGGCGTGGGACAGGGTCTGCTCCTGTGGCCGTCTTCCTGGGGAGAGATGGCGCAGGCCACATGGAACTCAGGGAGCCCCAGCAGGCTCGGGGAGGCAACGACAGATACCTGACGAGCTTAGGTTTCGGGTGCACGTTTCGCATACGGTACTTTGCAAGCCTCTTGTTCAGACAGTTGAACGTGGCTCCCAGGAGGCCCCCAATGACCCCCATCACGACGAAGAAACCCATATCCATAGCTGTCCAGAGATGACATTTTTTATCAGAGTCAGAGCACTGAGAGAAGGGGAAAGGGAGGGAGAGAGAAAAACCAGTGTGGTCGTGAGAGCAGGAAGGGACAGGAGAGGAGGAGACAAGAACAGAGCCAGGGCCGCGCTGGAACCCCGCTCACAGCGAGCAGGGCGTGCACGAGACGGAAGGGGCGGAGACGCCGCCACCGAAGACCCTGAGCCTAGCCCCATCACTCCTCTCTGCTCCGTAAGAGCAGTGTTCACGGGTCAAGTAAGAAATCCCGGGGGAGTCGGGCAAAACATACCTTAAACTCGCCGAAGTTCAGCAATCCCGGGAGCTGGAAGGAACCCCAGCTTCCAAACTGAATCCCGGAACGGAAGAAGTTGAGGGTGAAAGTGGCAGACATGGAACAGAAGAGCTGGGGGTGGTGACGAAAACAAGAACATTCACCGGTGATGTGTGCCTCTCCCCGGCCCCCCAGTACTTCCTCCTAGTGTCTGCTGCCCTTCAGGGGCCAGGAGAAGGGAGGCTGGGATCCAGGGAACGGGCACAGCGCAGGAGACACAACTCAGAGCGGCCAATTCTCCATCCCGCCCCAAGACGTTCTCACTCAACCGGCAGCGTCGCACAGAGCCTGTTCCGGACGAGACCCTGCCCTAACAAGGCACTCGCCATGCGAGGAGGCTCTACGCCGAGGACGGAGCAGGGCTCCAGTCCTGACTGCCACTTCCTGCCCTGACAGCGCTAACGCACGCCTGCACGGCCGTGGCAGACTGCAGCAGCGTAATCTGGCCTTTGCTGTCTGGCAAGAGCGGAGAGCGCAGCTGTGAAAGAGTGAAAGTCCGCGAGGGAGGCGATGGGGGCCAGAGCCGGGGCACTTCCAGCTGAGTCCGCTCGTCCGCCCACAGAGCCACGGGAGCCCTCCTGCGGGGCACCCCGTGAAATTCTAGAGGGTGGGGTCCCGTCTACGAGCTGGTTTTCACTGACGGTGCTCCTCACCACTTTCCATGTGAGCCCTTGGTTCCAGAAAGACGAGCCCTCCTCCAGGCTGAACAGGGTCGCCCCAATAGGAGCCCCAAAAGCTGCAGCGATTCCCGCAGCGGCTCCTGCTGACACAAAGTCTCGCTTGTCTCTGGGGAAGAGAGAGAGACGTTTAATCCAGGTAAGAACCCCCATCAAAGGCTGTTTCTAACTCACTTATCCACAAATATTTTATCTTATGACCTAGGGAAAGTCGGGGCCACGAATGGGCAGGACCTGGTGCTGGCTCTCAGCATCAGCAGTGCCTCAGGGGGGTGGGCTTCAGCACTGGGAACGGGGATCCCCGGCACCGTCACCTCCCTGCTCCCAGATCAGGAAGCAAGTCCCCAGCAGGGCTGCCACCGGGGAGACGTCACGGCGCTCACTGGTCACGTGTGGCGGGTGGACAGCAGCTCTCGGGGAATTTCCAGAACGAGAAGGTGGCCCAAGGCCTCAGCTGAACCTCGGATTCCCAGGGCCCCACGAGGTGTGCCAGGTAGCACCACGCACACACCCACGGGCCAGAGTGTTCTGAGCAGAGCGCCTCCCACCTAGGAAGGCGGCTGACCAAGACGATCATTTGGGAACACAAAATACCTTCTTGATAATTCGCCTGCCTGAGCCTTTCTTGCTTGGGTTTTGAATTTTTGTTTGTTTTCAATTTATTGGAAAGACAGAGAGAAACACATTTCCCATCAGCTGCTTTACTCCGCAAACTCAGTGGCCTAGGCGGGGCCAGACCAAGCCGGGAGTCAGCAATTCCATCTGCATCTCCGTGAGGGGGGCAGGGACACAGCTACTTTGGCCATTGTCTGCCACCTCCCTGGGCAGGCGTTTGCAAGAAGCCAGAATCAGACTTGGAGCCAGAATTCTACCCCAGGCACTCTGATACGGGATGCAGCATCCAAGCAACATGGCAACCACTAGGCCAGACACCCGCCCCTTAGTTGGGTTTTGATCCGGGACCATCTTCCTGGCCAGAGAGGTTTCCAGGCCTTACAGCAGGATAAAATAAAAGTCATGAGGCCAGCGTGGCTCTTGTGCTCCTTGCTTTCAGAATAACTCAAAGCCTACTACTTCCTTTTCTGATGGTTGGGTTTTACACGTAGCCTGCCTAGCATGGGCTGCAATTCTTCATCCTTCCTTACCTGTCGCTTCGGAAGTAGGGGAAGTTAAACTGGATCTTCCGTAAGGAGATGCTCTGAAACTAAAACCAGAGCAGATAAAGTCAGAGAGCAGCCCTCAAGGACTAGAGCCGCAGAAGTCCCTGGCACACGGAGGCCGCTTTGCTGGGGCACAGCTGGGCGGGCGTGGGCCAGGAGGAGGAAGAGCCCAAAACGGCACCGTGGAAAAAGGAAGCGGCTCCCTCCGGGAGGAAGTGATTTTCCCTGCCCCCACCCACATTTCTCGAATTTTCACAAACTGCATTTTGTGCAGTCAACAAGTCAGGAAGAAAAATGGGAAAGAGCTAAGCAAAGGGTTAGGAGGAGCCGAGGAGCCGACAGTGCCGCGGTGGACGGCGCGCACCCGCTCAGGGCGGGCCCGCAAGGGGAGGCCCCAGGGTGTCCCAGCCCGGCCTGCAGCCTCTCCCGCTGCCCTCCCTTGCGGGCCTCCGTCCACCTCTCAGCTCACTTCCGGGACACCTGGCAGGTGAGGCAGCAGCAGGGCGAGATCAAGAGATGGGCTCTGGGAGGGCAGTGTCTCCCAGTGACGGCTCACGGGGAATGGAGAGGCCTTATGCTTTAACCCCGGAAGGCGGGACAGCCTGTACGAGCCGGAGCTGGCTTCCCAACCTCAGAGCCTCAGTCTCCTCATCTGAGAATGGGGATGATGACAACTGAGCCCTAGGGCGGCCGCAGAGGATGGGCCGGCGTGGGAGCAATCTGGCAGGCAGACAGCGTCAGCAGGCAGCTGCTACTGCGGCTCTGCCACACGAGAATCAGCACAGAGCTGTGGCCGAGGCCACCTTGGCTGCCGCTCCCAGCTTCCGGGCCTCGGGCAGCACGGAGGTGACCGGCCATGCCACTCTCCACGGATGCAGTGGGCAATGGCTGCGGGGGGCACCAGGGGACCTTCCACGGCGACTTGTCCACAGCCACCCTGCTCCTGGGACTCAGCAGGGAGCCAGCTCCACTTCCGTGGAAGCTCCGCACGCTCCTGGGAGCCAGCATCGTTTTCCTATCGACCCCGAGTGGAATGAGGTTCCCGAGTCGGGTCAGGGAGCTCCCGGTGGACGTTCCTGCCCAGGAGGCCCACTTGGAGGGCTGTGTCCTCTTGGTCCCTGCCCTCACCTGGGGGAGGCCGGCTCCTACCACGGCTCCACTGTGGATCATGGGGCCTTCCTTCCCCACAAAGAGCCCTGGGGACAGGGAGAGAGGGAAGACGGTCAGCCAGCACAGAGGGCCTCTGGGTCAGAGACCTCTGCTCCATAAACTCTCTCTTGACAAACTAGAAACAGACATGGGCACTACTCCATAAGACAGTCAAATTCTCACTAAACAAGCTCTGTTTGAAGTATTGCTATAAGAGAAAAATATGCTTTATTTTTTTTAAACTATTTTTTTAACAATTTTTTTAACATTTATTTTATTTACTTGAAAGGCAGAAAGAGACACAGAGAGAGATCTTTCATCTGCTGGTTCACTACCCAGATGGCTACAACAGCCAGGGCTGGGCCAGGCAAAAGCCAGGAGCCCAGAACTCTATCCAGGTCTCCCCTGTGGGTGGCAGGGACCCAAGCACCTGGGCCATCCCCTGCTGCCTTCCCAGGCACATTAGCAGGGAGCTGGATTGGAAGCGGAGCAGCCAGGACTCAAACTGGTGCTTTGATACGGGTGCCGCCAGAGTCGCAAGTGGTGGCTTAACCCACTGTGGCACAACACTGGCCCCACTCTTCACAGCTAAATCCGGGATCAGCAAAGTACAGTCCATGAGCCAAGACCCGCTCCCTGCCTGTTCTTAAACAGCCTGGGAGGCAGGAGTGGCTTTTATATTCTTGTATTTTATATCCCTCATCTTCTCTCCTGGCCCACAAAGCCTCAATGATTTACCATCTGGCCATTCAGACAAAAAGCTTGCCAACTCCACAAACCATCTTGATGGCCATTCTACTCCAGAACAGAACGCTGTGTTTGTCAAGGGCTCTCTGAATAATACTGTCTGTTTTTAAAAAAGAACCCAACCACACAAGGGGCAGACACCCGCCTGTGGGAGGCCCCTCCAGATTCAATGAACTAACATACAACAAAGCGTCTCGTCACCTTTGCACCCTGAGTGCCGGAAAGATCAAGGACCCCTCACCTCCAGCCACGCTGAACAGCACTCCGAAGACTTTGCAGAGCAGGGTCCGGAGCCGGACAATGCCTGGCACCTTGACGCCGTTCAGGTAGCATTTGATCTCGGGTATGCCAGAGCCTGCGGCCACCGGCTGGTGGGTGAGAACAAACACACCCGTGAACTCGAACCCACCGGCCCCTCAGGCGCCCTCACCACGCTCGCCTCTTCCCATCTTCCCCGGCGGCACCGGCTCACCTGCAGGGCTGGGTTAGCCGCAGGGGCTGGGCCCCACCTGTAGAGGTCCTGACTCAGCAGGTCTGAGGGGAACAGGAGGCCCTGTCTTGCTTCTACCAGGTTCCGTGAGTCAGCGTCACCCAGGGACTTCAGCAACCCAGGTGGCACCCACTTGCAAGGACTCTGATCGTTCGTCTGAGCTGGGGCCCAGGCAGGAGTGGTTTTTTTTAAAGTTCCCCGGGTGAGTCCAGTGTGCTGCCAGGGCTGAGAACCGCCACCCAACCTAGAATTTTCCTCTTTTCTCTCATCAGAGGCTGGAGCCTTCACTTCCCAGAACTGTTCTAAGCGAACAAGGGGCCACTTCTGTAGGAATCTGCCATCACTGTAGCTGTTGCCTGACACTCTGGAAACTGCGTCCTCGGCTCCAGCACCGCCCGAGCCGACAGGCCATGAGACCTCCTCACCTCGATCAGGACAAGCAGGCTGGCCAAGAAGACGAAGGTCAAGTTAAAGCCCAGGAGCTCAAGGAGGGACAGGGCGAGGCAGCCCTTCTGGCTGCACTCCTCCACGGCTGCAGAAAGCGGGTCAAGGAAGGCTCACCTCCCGGCCCTCCCTGCAAGCCCTGCGGCTTCAAGTCACCACGGCTGTGGGTTTCCCACATGAACAGGACTTTAGAGTTGACCCAAACGTCGTCCACGTTAGGAACCATTTAAAAATTATGAAATACTTCAGATCTCACCAAAGATGCAACAAACGCTTAAGGTCCTAGCTTTAACAAATCTTGAGTTACGCCTTATTCGCTCTGGACTTTTTTTTTTTTAATTTATTTGACAGGTAGAGTTATAGGCAGTGAGACAGAGACAGAAAGAAAAGTCTTCCTTTCTTCTCCCCAAATGGCCACTACGGCTGGAGCTACGCCGATCCGAAGCCAGGAGCCAGGTGCTTCTTCCTGGTCTCCCATGCAGGTGCAGGGGCCCAAACACTTGGACCATCCTTCACTGCCTTCTCGGGCCACAGCAGAGAGCTGGACTGGAAGAGGAGCAACCGGAACTAGAACCTGGTGCCCCAACCGGGACTAGAACCTGGCACTCACATGGGATGCCGGCGCCACAGGCGGAGGATTAACCAAGAGAGCCATGGCGCCGGCCCCGCTCTGGACGTGTTTAACAACTAAAAATGACTTTCATTTTCCTCCCCCAGAAGCAGCTGCTGCACATTGTAGTACACACTGTAGTACATGTAGCTCCCATTCCACGGTGTACATGTGCTACAGTGCTCCCATTACACTGTGTACATGCGCTACAGTGCTCCCATTACACGGTGTACATGCACTACAATGTTCCCATTCCACGGTGTACATGCACTACAGTGCTCCCGTTACACCTAGGAGAGGAACACACGAGTCCCAGGAGCGTGCCCGTCTGACCTTTCCCCATGGGTGTACTGGCCATTCAGTTGTTCTGAGAATTTCCTGTGCACACACTTTGTTCTTTGTTGTCCTGAATTTGGTTTTTCTTACTGAGCTGCAGACCTGGCCACATTCTAGCTGCTGACTGTTGGTCTCTCACACACACAGGAAACAGCCCCTCCCAGGCTGTGGGCTTGTTCACTTCATGCTTCGGCGCTGTTTCTAGGGCTTTCTGTCCTGCTATACATAGAACACTCTGATGTGGTCACAGTTTTCGACCTTTTCCTTCCAGTCTCTGTTCCTTCTGGAATTTTAAGGAAGTATTCTCCTTTGACATCATAAATTCTCTGGAAGTTTTGTTTATTTTCATCTTCAATCCATTTGGGATTTATCTTTATTTACAGTAGGTAATAAGAATCTAATTTTATACTTTTCCATACGGATAACTCATATCTTAGAATCTTTTATTAAATAGCCCATCTCTTCCTCACCAATTGATAACATTAACTCCATCATTCAACAAATGTTTATACATCAGAGTACCTCAAAGTTCATGGAAACAGAAATTAAAATGCTGATTTTGGTGCATTTATTTCCATACAGATGAGGGGTCTCTCAAGTTGGTGTTTTTGAGAATAAGCCACGTTGATACACATAGCTCTGGTTCCATAAATGTGAGGGGTCTTCAAAAAGATCTGAAAAGTGCCCAGCATCCCATATGGGCACCAGTTCAAGCTCCGGCTGCTCCATTTCCAATCCAGCTCTCTGCTGTGGCCTGGGAAAGCAGTGGAAGATGCCCAAGTCCTTGGGCCCCTGCACCCCCGTGGGAGACCCAGAGGAAAGTTCCTGGCTCCTGGCTTCGGATAGGATCAGCCCAGCTCCAGCCGTTGCGGCCATTTGGGGAGTGAACCAGTGGATGGAAGACCTCTCTTTCTGCCTCTGCCTAACTTTGCTTTTCAAATAAATAAAATAAATCTCTTTAAAAAAATAACATGCTCATTGTTACACCCATTTCTAGACAAGAGAATTTCAGTGACCACTGCAGTCCAACGACCACACAAAGGATACAGGCTTCCACCACGCCAAACTTTGGAGCTTGCGTGAAAGAAGCTGGCACGGAAGAAAGTCCCACGAAGATGGCCCAACCCTGGGTGAAAGGAAC